GACCCTCATAAGTCGAACCCGACGGGAGAATCGATATATATATATATATATATATATATGTTTTGAATATTAAAAAATTAAAATACAGGGTTGTATATAAATTTTCTTTTTGTCTTTATTATTTCAATTAGATTCCTCGACTAGTTTCGACCATCATGGGCATCAGAAGATGAAAAAAAAAAATCTGCTTACTAGTAGCATATATATACAGTGTAACCCGGATATAAGAGAGTTGTCTGAACCGGAGAAGAAGTCTCTTATATCCGGGTTTCACTTATATCTGGGTTTGTTCTATTTTGTTTAGGTAACACAGGCTCTAATTTGGGACCAGATAAAAACTCTCTTATATCCGGGTTTCTCTTATATCCGGGTCTCTTATATCCGGGTTACACTGTATATGTGTGTGTGTGTGTGTGTGTGTGTTAATTTTATGACTGTCAGTGTTTCTCCAAAATGGCGAAAGTGAATAGATATCTTTAAATCGTTAGAATTCCCGCCCTGTTATTTTTTACGCGCACGCAAATTCTTTGATTTTATAAGCCTGTAATTATATTACATAACACAAAATTCCTTATATTGCTTCTCTCGATGTAACTCTTTCTCTTTCCGACATTTCTCATTTTTTTCCCTCTTTCTCTCTCACAATTTCTAAATAAAATTTTCAGTTTACAAAACACGCCACTTACTTTTTTCCGATGCAATTCTCTTGTACGCCATTTTTTTCTTTTCTCATCTCATCATACATGAATCTTGAGACTTGAGATTTGTTTACCAAACGGTACTTCTTATTGAATTTTTAACTCAAAAAGTCAGGACGTTTCTTGGTGTTTTAGAGTTAGTATCACGGCGCCAAATGTATATCCTGAAAGTGCCCACGTTAAAAAGATCTCATGTCATAGCCTATCGTGTTGGAATATGAATAGCCACTTGATTATACTTAACATTCTAAGGGTTTGTGTTTAGTTTTTGACACTTTGGACTTACCGGGTGGCACTCGTTATGGAGAGTATGTTCACTTTTAAGGGTCATCAAGTAGCTGTCTTTTTTTTTTTTGGCGTAGAGTCGACCGAGCGATGACTTAGGGACGGGAACTTGAGAAAATATTATCGTGGTATTAGCAACGATGGTCATTGCAAAATTGATCATGTAAGTTATACGCCCCACAAATTGCATCATCCGACCTGCGGCTATTTTGAAATTTCTGTGCACTAGAAAATCTAAATTTAAATTATTTCTCTGAGAACTAATATTCTTATATTTGTCATTTATCACAACGATTCGGCCGTTGTAACTCCCGGACTTCTTTAGGATCTTGTCGAGCCGGGTAACCTTCAAGAAATTTCGAAATGAATCCCGGGGTAGATTCTTCTTCTTTTAATGACCAGGATTAGGGGATATCTCATTTAGTTTTATTTAGTAATGCTCACATATTGCTTGACCCATTCCACTGCCCAGCCCAGGGATTGAACTTACTATTAATACGTCACTAAATTCATGAACTAAAGCTAAAGGACTAAAGATCAGTGCAGTGGTTCCCAAACGGCGCGGCTCGCCTCATATCTGGGGTGGAAGAGGAATGTAGGTCAGGCGGAATGATTGAGAGACAATCAAAAATTTAGAAAGAGTTTCAAAAAATTTATATACCAAATTAAATATGATTTGAAAATTGAAAATATTATTATGCATTATTTGTAATAGTATGCATGTCTTTCACGACAAATAGTTGACCGATTTTATCATTTTGATATTTTTGCATTATAGCAAGTATTAAGAATATAATAAGCAGGCTCTGTAAATTGGAGGAGAGAATTATCAGTGATAATGTTCGAACTTCGAATCTGCGGTTATCTCGCTTTAAACATCTCTCTGATATTTTTAATTGCTTTGTTTTGTTTTACGGCATATCAACTACAATTTTTATTGATGATAATATTTTTCTTCAAAAATGTATTGGTGGTAATATTTTTTCAAAGAATGAATAGCTGGAATTTTTTTTAATCAGAAATGTATAGTTAATAATATTTTTTTTCAAAATATGTATAGCTGGTTTTTTTTTTTTTAAATGTGTAGCTTGTTTTGTTTTACGGCATATCAACCTCAATGGCTTATTTAATGTCGACAATATTTTTATTGCTGGTAAATTTTTTCTAATGTATAGCTGGCAATTTTTTAAAAATATTTGTTGTTGATAATAATGTATTGCTGGTAATAATTTTTCTTCAAAAATTTATTGACAGTAATAATTTTTTTAGAAAATATTTCTAGTATTAAAACATATTTTTACAATTTTATAGTGTTTTGACCCCAGATTGCGGGTTAATTATTTACCCATAGCTGGGACCCTAACAGGTGCTACCACCCCAGTTCAGGGTGGACCTGGGAACACCAGGAATTAAGAGGTGGTTTCACACTCCCCAAAACCTCCTGATCAGAGGCCTTGCTGTTGGATGTAGTTTATCGTCTTATCCAGGACGTTTTTTTTTTATTTTTAAATGTACTTTTTATCACGTGAGGTGCGAGCAAATTTTTATTCCGAAAATGAGACCCAAAGACATAAACGGTAAGGAAGCACTGGCTTAGTGGATTACAAAAAAAAAATGATCAGCGGGACGAGAACAATCCATTACCGTAGATTAAATGAAAGGAGTTCGAAATTTCTTGAAAGGTAACCAGATCAACTAGCACCTGATGAAGATCAAAGGGCACAACAACCGAAACGTTGTGATAATGATAATAACAACAGAGATGAGGATGATTGTGCATATGTAAATAAGACATCCAGAAGAGGCATGGCACGTGGAACTAGAACAGTCTACCCCGGTGGACGAAATAAAGGGTTCGATTCGAAATTTCAATCACCTGAAGAAGGTCGGAGCTTACAACGGCCGAAACGTTGTGAATATGACAATGAAGATGGGGATAACAGTCCGAATAATGTAAATAATGCAAGTTATCATAATACCTCATCTCAGAGATATAGACAGGTGTTGCACTGCTGTAGAATATATAATCATTAATACGGCGATAAATGTTGGGGAGTTGAGTTAAAGGGATATAACTGAGACATCCAGAAGAGGCATGGCACGGGGAACTAGAACAATCTACCCCGGTGGACGAAATAAAATGTTCGATTCGGAATTCCAATCACCTGAAGAAGGCAGGAGCGTTCAACGGCCGAAAAGTTGTGAATATGGCAATGAAGATGAGGATAAGAATCCGAATAATGTAAATAATGCAAGTAATCATAATACCTCATATCAGAGATATAGACAGGTGTTTTACTGCTGTAGAATATATAATCATATGGCGACATATGCTGGAGGGTTCAATTAAAGGGAAATAACTGATACATCCAGAAGAGGCATGACACATGGAACTAGAACAATCTAAACTAATTATAATAAGAAAGAACAATGTAACACGGTTGACGAAATAAAGGGTTCGATTCAAATTTCAAATCACCTGATGAAGGCCCGGTCATACAACGGCCGAAACTTTGTGAATATGATAGATGAAGATAACAGTCCGAGTAATGTAAATAATGCAAAAAAAAAAAGATTTATTTTTCTCTTATTTTTTTGCACTCAATCAACCATTGCGTCTTAGAGGCTTTATTGCCTTTCTTGAGTAGAAATGATAACCAATGATATATTGTGATATGAAAACGTTTTGTTATAGATTTCTATCGAAATTTTAAAAAAAAGACAACCGAATTCTTTTTTACATTTGAAAATAAAGTTATGTAAATAAAATTCATACTTACCAAAAGCTAAGCAGAGTAATAAAAAAAAAACCCAGACAAGTTTCATTAGAAAACAACACTAAACTCTGATGCAATATTAATCCTTCCATACGGCAGGGAATGCTGGACAATCTCCTCATAGATGAAGACATTTCAAGCAACAGAAGTATGATTCTACAGATGGTTACTGAGAATACCATGGACAGAAAATGTGAGCAACAACGAAGATAATGGAAAGAAAAGGACACATAATTAACATCTGGAAGAGACAGTTGACATTTCTGGGTGGACATAATGAAGAAAGAGGGTTTGGAAAATTTGATACTCACAAGACAGATTGGAGGCACGAAGTACAGAGGAAAAAAAAAGCATGAATTATCTAACGAGCGTGAGTAAATGAATGGCGGAATAAAGCTTAGGAATGATAACAGCATTTACTAAGAGTTACAAAAGACAAGAAAATGTGGAGAGCCATGATCGTCAACGTCCTGAAAGGACACAACACATAGAAGAAGAGGCGTATTTATATATAAAATATAACTAATGCTTATTGTCCGGTATACAGTCCTCTTCGTTTTTTGAAAAGGAGTTATAGGTATTTTTTTTTCCTGCTTGGGAATGAGTTTTCCGTTCTTTCTCATGTCTACTTCAATTCTATACTTCTAAAATCTCCTGTCTGCAATTTTATTCAGCAATTATTTTATTCTCTCCTCAATAGGAGTAGATAAGTTTGCCTATCGTCCTGTTCTCACTCCTTTCCAGTCTTTTGAAACAAGTTTATTCCTTGTCCCTTGTTTAGGTTTCGGGTTCTTTCTAAAGACTTTTTTCTCTTTGAGCCCCTTGCGTCTTAGTGGCATTATCGCCTTACTTGGTGTGAATTCATAAAAAAAAATGCAATTTTTTTCCTTTTTTAATATGGCCGTCATTTTTAGCGATCCGTGTAAATTGGTACGAATAAATGCTGAGTGAGCATTGTCGACCCAACTAGTAGACTATCTCGTCGCTAAACAATATACAATTTGATGGTTTATTATGATGTTTGTCGGGCCTGCAGCCATTAATCTGCAAATAAATCTAATTAGAAAAGACGGAAGGGTGAGGTTGGTGGACTATAGCAGTCGAGTCATAAAGCTAGTCCGATCAACGTGATACTAGCCATCTGTTTATCATACGTTACGCTATTTCGACGACATTTATGGCACATGAAGCGTCTTTTTCCAGAAGATGGATATCAGTGTCTGTGACTCTAAAAATATAG